GAAAAAAAACTGTTAATAGGTTAACAGTAAGTTCCCGTACTATATACAGGGAAAAACTGTAAAATATCTAACCAGACATTTCATGTAATTTTACAGTAAAATGCTGTTAATTTGACAGTTTTTAGAAGTAAAAATAACAAATCAATGTATAATTTACAGTCAAAAACTGTAAACTGATATACCCAGAATTCCCTTGCATGGCACTCCACATTTTAAAGTATTTTGTTTAAATCATCGTGTTTTTTAATAGTTTTTGTTATTAGTTATGTATATGTGTTTTTTTTATTGTAGTCTGTATAAGAATTACACTTTAAATACTTTGGGACATACATTTCAAACCACATTACATTTTTGGTGTTGTTGTTATTTTGTTTTTGAAGATGAAAGGTTTTATTTTTCACTAAAATGGTATTGTTGATAATACAATTAGGGAAACTATATTAAAACTATATTAAATTAGACAAATGCAAAACAGAAGCATTTACACAAGTGGGTACACGATATGAAATGGGGGGGTGGGGTGGGGGTGGTAATAGGTCTGGAGGTATAAACTGAACATATGCATTTTCTTTTTTCATATGCATCTTTTTCTTCTTTTTGTTTTAACCATTTTTGCCATTCAAAAGTTTGGGGTTAATAAAATCTTTCATGTTAGTGAAATAAGTCTTATAGTAACCAAGGCTGAATTTATGTGGTCAAGTATGCATTAAAACAGTAATACTGTGAAATATTGTAAGAATTGGAAATTACTGTTTTCTAGATTTATATATTTTATTATTTATTTTTATATGTTTAATAATTAATTTTATTCCTGTGATGGCAAAGCTGAATTTTCAGCATCATTGCTCCAGTCTTACGTCTCACATGATCCTTCAGAAATCATTCTAATATGCTGATTTGCTGCTGAAGAAACATCATTATCCATGTTGAAAACAGTTGTGCTGCTTAATTTTTTTCAGGATTCAGAATTGATTTAAAATATACATTTATTTGTAACATTATACATGACTTTTCATTCAAAAAACCTGACCCAAACTTCTGAACAGTAGTGGAAATAAATAAAGAGAGAATATCATAAGTAGGCATCAGTGATAAATAAATAATACTCTTTTCGCTTACCAAGTTTAAGAAGACGGAGATGAAGTTTCGCCCACTCAGTGAGGGCTCCAGGGAGATGTGTATAACAGGTTTTCTCTAACCTTCCGCTTCATATTGAAGAGGTAGCTTCTGAAACAAAACAAAGATTATGACATTATCAGTGTGTATACTCCTACCAGTTTTCAGCCTTGACATCTGGAATTGGAAGATTTAGTCAGAATATGTTCGAATTGGTTTCGTATGCAAGTTTATATGACATGCATTATATGATAGCTCGTTTTATATATTGTACTTTACATCTTTACATCTCTGCACTACTCCAATCTGAATATTGAAAACATTTGTTTTCAAAAATGTTTCCTGAACAAACTCCATTGCTCACCTGTCTGTCCTGCCCCAAGCTCAAGCCACTGGTTGCGAGTTGGGTGTATGTAGCTTTGAAAAGTGATTTTTAGATTTAAAATTAATACACCTTAATTCCGCCTATTTCTAAAATAATTGTAGGTAACACTTTACTTGAAGGGGTGTGCATAAGACTGACATGACACCTTCATAATCATGGCATGACACATGTCATGAATATGAAGGAGGTTTTATGCATGTTTATGACAACTGTCATTAAGTGTCATTCACTCAGTTATGTCATTTTTAATGCAAATATGACATTATTTGACCTAACCCTAACCTAACCCTATCCTTACCCTTACCACTTACCATAGCCCATAACAAAGACATCTCAAACAATGTCATCTTTGCATTAAAAATTACATAACTGAGCAAATGACACTTAATGACAGTTGTCATAAACATGCATAAAACCTCCTTCATATTCATGACATGTGTCATGCCATGATTATGAAGGTGTCATGTCAGTCTTATGCACACCCCTTCAAGTAAAGTGTAACCTAATTGTATTCTCCATACTGTACTTCAGTTTTGACTATTGGAAGAATACATTACTGAAGAAACATCCTATTCGTGGTAAAGGTAATGGTAGTTGTTACTTATGACTTTTTATGACCATTGAGAGTTGTGGAGAATTTAAAACGTGAGAGAATCGTAAGACAAATTAAAACACTGTGCAGTAGTATATAGAGTGCTGCAGGGATGACATTTTTGTAGACCAAAACCCAAAAACGAGTTTGCATTTTAGCACTTCTGGTTCCACTGTCCTGAAGTAAATGTTTTTTTTAATGGTTAAATGCCTGAAATAAGGTCTGTGTTTAACATAAGCTCAAGACATTTTAATGTTTTATTGGCTAAATGGGCTACACAGGTTGTCAGACATTAAATGTCATCATGCCAAACTGGTAAACTCATCTACTCACTAGTCCACTTCTACACTCTCACTGTGTTTATAGTCCCACTCCTTCAAACTATTCTAACTCAAACTTTCAGAGAAAAGAGTTGTTGGATACTTGAAGGTGATTATGTTGTAGTCATGTGACCATGGTGTAGTTCTGTAGTTTAACTTCTGTCTATTGTATTTGTATGCTTCATTATTCATAAAAGTTGTGTTCATTTGTGAAGATTATCATGAATAACCAAACATGAAGAATCAAACTTTTTTTGGTCACAGAGCTTATTTTCTGCAATAATCCAAAAACCAATTGTAAAACTCTGTTGGGTTGTTGTCAAGAGAACCATGGTAATGCTCACTTCCTGATTGGTCTACAAAAATACATAATCACGGCAGCACTCGAATGGATGGAAAACAAGTAAAGATCTGACCGTAGATGCAGAAAGAGCAGCCTTTCGGGAAGTCGGACACAAGCAGTGCCCAGCAGAAATGTGGACCACTGCGAATGACACTTAATGACAGTTGTCATAAACATGCATAAAAACCCTTCATATTCATGACATGTGTCATGTCATGATTATGTAGGTGTCATGTCATGATTATGAAGGTGTCATGTCAGTCTTATGCACACCCCTTCAAGTAAAGTGTAACCTAATTGTATTCTCCATACTGTACTTCAGTTTTGACTATTGGAAGAATACATTACTGAAGAAACATCCTATTCGTGGTAAAGGTAATGGTAGTTGTTACTTATGACTTTTTATGACCATTGAGAGTGTGCTGACCAGCTGCATCACTGTCTGGTATGGGAACTGCAGTGCTGCTGACCGCAAGACCCTACAGTGGACACAGCCGCAAAGATCATCGGTGCCCCTCTCCCTTCCATCCTGGGCATTTTCACTATACACAGTGCACTATACACTGTTTACCCTGAAATACCTCTTTTGCACAATGTCATGTACAGTATT